AGTCCCTGTGCACCAGAGATGCTTCCATACATTTCAAATGGCCAAGGCAGTGAGATGGCACATGCACTGCCCCACCCACCTCATGGTCCAGGCCGTTGTCCCCCTCAGGGTTCAGCTGGATGTGGGCAGGGAGCGGTCATTTGGAGATTGTACATGGTTAAGTGGTGGTGTCCATTAAAGGCAGTGATATTTTGAGATCAGGAGGTGTATGCCTTGCTTTGTGTGTTTTTGAAGTCGATCTTTGGAAAACAGTACAAATGATACTAAGTCCTTGCTGCCGTTTTCTGGTCCCTCCTTCTGGGGGTAAAACTTACACTTTCTCTTTCTCTTGCAGAGCATGATTGAGAAGGGAGGATAAAAGCCACTTTCAGAACAAGCAAAACTCAGTCCTGTCCAACTTTCTCTTCTACCAAGCTCCTCACTTGGTGAACCTCCACTCCAGCAAAGCTTAGGGGTGGGACCAGGGATGAGGAGATGGGAGTGGGGAGGAGAGGGCAGGATACCTCCATCCAGGCCCGCGGTACTGGCGTAGTATCCAGACTGTGCATGTTGGGCTTCTGCTTCCTTTCTCCCTTGACTATAAGAGCTGTTTCATTTTAACTTATGACGATCATGTAAAGAAGACAAAAAGGAGAGAAAATGTCCCTCTTTTACTGGAATAATGTTTATGATTACAAGTGAAATAAGGCATTTTTTATCAACATAAAGGCAACCTTGGCTTATACAACTGCTTCTCTATCGTGAATACTGACACCTGACTTCACTCACTATCAATAATAAATTTATTTTCTGACGAAGACTGGCATTGCAGCCCGGGCCTCGTGTGCTTCTTTCCAGGGGTTGGATGGTTATGCTTATGGGAACTGAGTTGATTTATATTGTTACTAGTGTCCATGTGTGCTGTACCTTTCTCCCAAAAGCTGCAGAGCCTCAGCCACGCGAGCGCTCCTCAGGACTTGCCTCGTGGTAGGCAGGTAGGTGGGTAGGTAGGTAGATAGGTAGGATGCAGTAAGAGCTTTACAACCTGCGTGGACCTTCCTCCTGGGATGACCTAAGCCATCCTGCCTGTGGTGAGAACGAGCTTAGCTAACCTTGGTTACAAACTTCCGACCCTGCGATCTATGAAAATGTTATTTTTAAAAAGTCAACCAACCTTCAGTGTTTTTCCTCTTTCCAGGTTCATTAAAGCTTTCTAATTATGTCTCCCTTTTTTACCAGAGGATTGGTACTTCAAGCCTGGATTTTGATAAGTTGGAAATTAGTATTCACACTGAAGCTAAATGGAAAGGTCTTTCCAGGAATAGATGGAGGAGAAAATGCCAAGGCTCCGTGATGTCATCTAAATATCTTCTGTTGTGTAGAATTTCTGTTACAGAGAGAAGTACTTTAGCAAAATAATTACGAATACGGGCTCTGGAGCAGGTGCATCTGTGCTCAGGTTGTGACCCCGCCCCTTTCCCCGTGGGACCTAATCAAACCCCTCACCATCCTGAGCCCCTGATTTCTCAGCTGCTGGGGTTGGGGGTGGAAGAATCTGTGTAGACAGACATTGGGTTGGGTCCAGTACCTGTAGGTTTGTGTGATATTCAGTAAACTGGTGTCTGGAGTTGGTGATGTAGGAAGAATATCCACAGGCCTAGATACCTTTTACTTCGAGATGGTCTTATGTTGGGAACATTTCAGCCAACCTCTAGAGACGGAAGTGTGGCCCCTTTTATCTAAATCCTGAGTTGGCTCCATTTGAAGGCATCTCGTGGACGCTTGTAGACACACCTGTGGATCTGATGCTGATTCTGAGTGACTGTCGACTCTCCCACCGTAATTACCCCGAGGCTCTCTGGTTCCTG